CTTAGACCGCAGAGCCACGGTGCAGTGGGAGCGGCGTCCTCAGCTGACTCTCTGCTCATCCTGTGCCATCTAACTAACAAACACTTCCACACAGAGGCGCTGATGGAGTGCCCAGACGGGGACCGGGCAAGTGCGTGCTGGTGCAAGACAGTCCCCAAATGCCAGGGGCCCACCACCCATGGAGGGCCCAGTCCTAGCTGCACAAGCGGCAACTTGAGTTGTATCTCAAAGGAGGGCACCTGTGGGTCCCCGTCATGTGCACAAGTCACAGAAGGTGCTGAGCCAGCTGAGGAGGCTGGAGAGGAGCCCAGCCCTCCTGGTTGTTGTACCACGAGGAAGGGTTAAGGCTTTAAATCCAGAATCACTGAGAAGAGCTTTCTGGACCATTACCACCCATCTAAATTTGTAAGCTTGGCCCTAAAATTGGCCCTGCCATGTGGAACCACCCATTAGGCCCAAGTTTGAAGATGTTTCTGAATAACCCGGGATGGAGGAGGGCAAGGGGAAGTGTATAACAAGATATTCAAACTATTATTGTGGAAAATGCTTCCAAGTTCCAGAGGATCTGAGGAGAACGTTTCTGGGTTCCCATCGATATGAAATTTTGATCTGTAATACAGATGAATCCCGGGAATCTCCAGATTAGCAGTAATCATTCAACAAACAATGTTTGTGTGCCACTGCACCTGCCCCCAAGTGACTGGTGCACAGTCCTCACCCAGAAAAAATGATCTCACAAGAGGACTGAGAGCCTGGAGGCCACAGTTAAAATGCAGAGCAGAGGTGGTTAATGGTGCCATATAGGAAGTGTTTGGTGTAGGGCCAGGGTTATAGGAGAGGAAGGTCATGGCATGTCCCAATAGACAGAGCTGGTGTTGAGCTAGACCTCAAAGTCTGGGTGGATTCATTGCAGCAGTCACCAGGAGCCAAGCGTACAAGAGGCTGATGGGGAAGAGGCAGTAGGAAGAGGAGTCTTACGGGGGTAGAAAACCATGAGTTCGTGAAATGGAATTTGGACAAAGGACAGTGCTCGTCTAAGCACCTTTGCAGCTTTTGAAATACATCATCATACTTTGCACCAGACATACAGTAGACCCCATTAACCACAGTTTACTTTCTGAGGTTGCAGCTACCTGCTGTCAACCTTTGTCTGAAAATATATAGACAATTCCAGAAATAAACTATTTAAAATTTTTAGATTACATGAGTAGCAGAAGGTAACTCAAGCCCTTCCAGTCCATCCTGCTTGGGATGTGAATTGTCCATTCGTCCAGTGTATCCACTATGTATCCACTACCCTCCCATTAGTCACTGAGTAGCCATCTGTTACTAGATCACTGTCACTGTTTCATAGAACTTGTGTTCAGGTAACCCAAATTCTACTTATTAATGGCTCCAAAGGGCAAGACAGTGATACTGTCGGTTACAATACGCCAAAGGGAAGCAGGAAGTTCATCCTTTAAGTGAAAAAGTAAAAGTTCTCAAACCAAGAAAAGAAAAAAAAAAAATCCCATGCTCAGATGACTAAGATCGTGGAACTTGGAGTAAGGTCAGTGCTGTCATGCACACAGGAGGGCACGTGTGGTAAGTTGTCAGCCTCTCACTGTGCCTACTTTATAAAAGGAGCTTTCTCGCAGGTCTGTGTGTGTAGCAAAAGGCTTACTGTATATAGAGTCCTGCACTACCTACAGTTTCAGGTACCCACTGGGGTCTTGGAAAGCATCCCCTGCAGGGAAGAGGGACTGTGTGAATCTGGTCACTGTCAGGAAGGAGCCAGAAAGCTGGAGCGATGACAGGGACACTGTGGCCACTGCCCGTGGCCGTGGGGCAGGACTGACTAACTTCTGTGGGATCCAGTCTCCTCCACAGAAAATACAAGCCTCGTATCTGCATCTTTGCATCAGCAAGATGACCAGCAAGAGTCTATGATAGTGAGAATGGTCAAAGCTTACCGCAAAGTAGCCAGCACTAAAGAGTGTGTCTCCACCAAGAAGGGTGGCGTCTCCCCACGCCTTAGTCTGCTATCTTCATTATTGTCTCGATTTTCTCATCTTTTCTGTCTGTTGTTATTTATGAAACAAAAACATTGCAAGTTTTTAAAAACTGAGCCCCTCCCCACCCCTCACACGTGTACTTACACTGGAAACGCAAGTGTTCAGGTGACCGTCTTCAAACACCTCGGGCTGAATGCCCACTGTGGGGTGAGCGTGAGTGCTGCTTAATTCCGTGTAAATTTGCCTAAGGATTCCAGGCGCTGGCAGTGCTGAGCACGTATGGTTCCCACTGCTTTTCCTTGACGAGCGGCTGCAGTGCCAAGTTAACCACGGCACTTTTTGGGTTTGCTTCTATTGGTTAAAATGTGCTGTTTCACCACAAGGGCCAGGCTTCCCCACAGACTCTCAGATAAGAAGCATCTATCCCACAACTCGATAGAAGACCTCTAGGATGTGGCTGGAGAAATTGCATCACTTCAATACAACGAACAATGTTCCATAAAAACATTAATAGAGCTAGGCACACACCTACAGCTACTCAGGAGCCGGAGGCAGGAAGATCATGAGTTCAAGGCCAGCCCAGGCAAAGTTAGTGAGCTCCAACCTCAGAAACAAAAGGGCAGGGACTGTCACCCGAGTGGCAGATTGCCTTCCAGCATTTGCGAGGCCCTGGGTTCTATCCGCAATTCCAGGACAAAAAAGGACAAATACAGATCAAACTGAGATGTACAGAAAAGCACAGAGGGCCTAGTGACCTGGCAGGCATGAGCTGAGGGAATGAAAGATGCATCTTGGGTTTAATGTAATCATGCTTGTCTGCGGATGACTCAGTTCTCAAATCTCCTCCTCTTCCCTCCCTCCCGGCTTGCGGAACAGGGACTTAGATTTCTTCCCGTAAATTTAGAGATTCGGGTGAATCTCTAAATTTCACCTCCCGTAGTGAAAATGGATGATACCCAAAGTCCTGTGCAGACAAGGCCTGCGAGTGGATTAAACCCGATGGGCCAGTGTCTCAGAATCCATCGTGTTTTACCATCCTTCATCGTGGTGGGTTTCACGGAGTGCTTTCCAAAGGAAAGCCAGGGTCAGGATCACCGTGCAGGAGCCATGGGTGCCTGTCAGCTAGCCAGCGTTTCCACAAAACTCAAGTACCTCATTGTGCTAAAATATTTGCCTATTAGAAAACTGTGTCACAAAAACATGTATTCCATGTGCCGTAATGACTGTCACCAAGGAAAACAGTGACATGACATCCTCCAGCTGGAGCCATTTGAACTTCACTGCATTTCTTAACTCGGCATCTCCATGGGATGCTGGCTGCACCCTGGAGGGACCAGAGGGCTGCCGGGGTGCGCCCCGCACTGGGAAAGCAGAGGAGCTTGTGAGGTGTGCTGCGGAGGCTGGAGGCGTACAGCCCTGTACCCGCCCTGCACCTCACAGCTGGGCCTGTGCATCCTCCCAGACCAGGGGGCTTAGAGCTGATCCCTGGGGCACAGGGCCTGTGGGAGGCAGACCAGCAAGGCAGAGCTGGTGTCTGTGGGTGCATCCAATGAGCTTTGGTCAAAACATCAAGGAGCCAGACACTGGTCTAAGGGACCAGTTTCTTCCTTCCCTGTCCTTGCACGCTCTTGGGGGCCGTCAGGTACCGGATACTTTACACTAAGGGGTTGTGTGTGTTCACATGTGTACATGCTTTATTTTCTCGTGAGGACACACTTGAAAACTTGTGTGGGTCTGACATGGCAATGTGTTGCAGAATGGGACCACTACTTCCTGTGGATGCAAAGTCACAGCCGGGCTGGTCCTCTGAGAAGCTTTGCCTCAAGGTCTAGGCCGGTGGTGCTGACCACACAGTGTCCTTTGTGGCACAGAATGTTCAGGGGCCCTTGTGTCCTCAGCCACTTCTGGTAATCTGTAAACACAAGCAAGGGCCAGGGAAAGTAAGATCAGAACCTTTGCCTCCAGGGGTTTTGTTTGGTTAATGCTGGAGCTGCTGAGCCTTTGCACAGATTAGCCTAGCCCAGTCTGCAGTGCACCCAGCATTGTCAGAATCGGGTGCAATTTTAAGAAAAATGGCTTCTGTGTGCACACACATGGGATCAAGAGACAGGCCCACCAAGGGGTCACCTGAGCGCCCTGGCACTGGGATTAAACAGGTGGATTTCCAGAGGCCTATCTAGCACCCTTGTCTTAACGTGTTTTGTGCACATTAACCACACCATAACCATGTGCACACCATGCTTGTGCCAGGTGAGATGTTGGCATCCATGCTCAGGTGTGTGAACGGGGAGACACAGCCACCTGGTGTCACAGAGTGGAAGAGGTCTTGGCCCCACCCTGGAGGGTCTCTCGAGCGGTGGGGTTTCTACATCTCCTGACAAGCTTTCTGACTTGATTGAATAAATAAAGTGCTGTTCAAATATATTGTTTATTCAGGTAAATAATTTCAAGGATTCACCGCATGCCGCCCTGCTAGTAACCAGAGATTCCCTTAGGAAGGGCACAAGAAGGTGGAAGACTTGTGATACAAACCTCTATTTAATGAGAAGCCTTCTCAGCCTCAGGTTTTTTAAGCATCCACAGCTGTTTTCTCCCTGGGCCGCTTTAACTGTCCTGTTCTTCTTTGCTGTGGGAAGACTATTCTCAAGGGTGTTTCAGGTGCCGGGCACACCTCAGGCTGCCCCGCTCACGATCCTCTATGACTCCCACTGTCAGGTCTCAACATCTCCACCAGACAGTTTGGCCTGGTTGGTCACATGGGGTCCAATGTGGGTACGTCTTTCTTCCCCAGCAGTTCACCCTGGCTCCAGAGTGGACTTCAGGATTTAGTTCTCGATGCCCAAGCTCAGCCCCCAAGTGAGCACCTCACACGCACCTTGAGCCTCAAACAAAAGATGGGAGCACGTCGCTGTGTCCTGTGCATCCGGCAGGTCTGTGTTCTCATCAGACCTGGCACGAGCCAGCCCTGCCTCACACATGCGTCCTGACTCTGTGTCTCCCTTTCAGGCCTACATGGAGGACCACCTGAAGAACAAGAACCGGCTGGAGAAGGAATGGGAGGCGCTGTGTGCCTACCAGGCAGAGCCCAACAGCTCGCTCGTGGCCCAGAGGGAGGAGAACACGTCCAAGAACCGCTCCCTGGCTGTGCTGACCTGTACGTACCCAGCCTCGGTGTCCTGGCGGGGGGAGAGGGGATGGATTACAGGCAGGTGTGAGCTACACCTACCTGAGGCTTCTGTTTTCACTACCCTGTCCTCAACAGCCTGCAGAGCCTCTCTGCCCCACCCCTCCGGCTGCAGACCTATGCCCACAGTTCTGGTCACTCTCTGGGAGCCACCCCCTCCTAAATAACTTGGAGCTGGTCTCTTCTTTCGATCCAGTGGCAGAGTCCTGAGGACGTGGGTTGGGGGCACACGAGCCCTAGTGAGACCAGCTCTCTGGCTCTCTGCTTCTGTGTGGGGCCTCCCGGACCGGTTCTCCTTCCACACTTGGGCTCACACTGCGTCTGAGCCGTGGGCAGCGTGGACTGGGTGCAGTAATAGCACGGTGTTCACATGTCCCAGGCACAGCAAGAATCTGGTAGCCAACCTTACTGAGGGTCTCCTCTCTAGCTAGGTGTCACTGCCAAAGAACAGAGACATGAAAAGTCCTGAGCAACTTGGGTGGAAGAGGGGCGCATCTCGTACCACACACACACAGGGTGTGTTAGGTGGGCCTGGGGTGGGGAACAGACCCCAGGAAAGCTTTTGGGCTTTGACTAACATTTGAGCCCACTTGAGGGGTGAAGAGGCCCCAGGGGACTCTGTAACCACAATTTCAGATGTAAAAAGATAGTCACCAAACACTGTCATCGTGAGTAATGAAGGCTGTGTGCCTGAGACACTCGGCTGCATACAGAGTGGCAGGGCCTCTGCTTCTGTGGGGTCTGAGGGTGTCCACCCCAACAGCTCCAGTCAGGCCTAGAGGTGCCCCTACAGTTCTCAAGTGTGAGCAAGTGAACTTTGCCAGCTCACATTTTTGAGAACACAACAAAGCCACACAGATTTCAGCTCAACATCACATGGCAGGCAAGACTGGAATCCACAGTGGCGAGGTCTTCTGTCACCTCCCCCCCCACAGCCTTTGTAGCACCCCGGGCTGCTTGGGCTCCACCACTACCACCACAGTCCTTTTCAGCCTACCTCCTTTCTGGCCCCCTGGAATAAATGCAGTCCCACTCCTGCGTGTGAAGTTTTTCTAACTATTAGTTGGGTTTGGGCCACCCCACCCCACCCTCGCCCCCGACGTCATGGGGTCTGAAGGTGTCACCCCAACAGCTCTAGCCAGAAGCTGTTGTGTTTTATAGGTTGTAAGTCTAGATAAAAAGCAAAACACAGTACATCCAGTTGACTAACAGGTGTAGGTTAAGCACCTACAGTGTGCCGGGCTACGCCCATGCTGGGAGGCCTAATAGAGCAGTGATGGCCACTGTCCTCAAAGAGGAGCTGGGGTGGGGAAGGAGAAAGAAGAAGAGGGACAGGCTGGTGATGGGAGGGAGGCATCCACCTGGGCATTGGAAGATGACATGGTAGAGCACCTACCCAGCAAGCACGAGGCCCCAAGTTCAAACCCCAGTGCCGCCAAGAAAAATGATGAGGTGGTTTGGAGCGCCACCTGAGCAACAGGCTGTGGTCCTGGACTATTAGGTCTTCGTGGAAAATACTGAAATCCAGAGCCTGGTCCTCTGAGGATGGCTCCTTGCTCTCCCCTCCCTGTGTGAGAGCTGGACACAGGGCAGCATCTGGGCTATGATGTCCCTCTGTGCATACCTCTGGGCTCTATCTGTGCTGTGCCACCAGGCTTCAGGGGTGAGGAACTTGGTCGTGGCCAGGTGTCCTGTACTTGGAAGCAGAGACACCTTGGTCCCAGCAGCAGCTGGCACCACTGTAGTGGTCATGGGAGGACCAGGGACTCTTGTGTTCTCTGTGTGGTGAACTGTGGCCCTGCCTGGTCCACGCCAGAGCAAGGCCAAGATGGGGGAGTGCTTCCAGAAGCGCCCGGAACGTGACTGGTGCTGCCTCCCTGGGTCCAGGCATGATGTTCAGCCACACCGGGTGTGAAGTGCCTGGGTTCTGGAAGGTGAAAGGTCACACGGGAGAGGCAGAGGCAGCAGGTGGAGCAGCCGCAGACACAAGCATTTCCTGAGTCCCTGGTTTGTGTGTGGCCTCTGCTCTCCACACTCCTGGCCCTGGATGGTCCAGAAGAATCTCGTCATCAGATTTCACCTGCATCCCTCCCGGACCCGAGCAAAGAGATGGCCCTGCTCACTCTCGCCGGGTCCCAACACCTCTCCTTCACCTGACCATCCTGCTTCACGCGGCTGTCTGTTCTGGTTCTCCTTACAGGACAGGGCTGCCCAGCAACGCAGCTCTGTCTGAAGGCGCCTCTGACTTCTTACAGCGGGAGGCAGGGCAAGTGGTCCTTGTGGAGCCAGGAGTAATGGGGACATGTCCCCACGTTCTCCTTTGGTGTCTCCGGGTGGAAGCCACGCACCATCTTCTGCACCACATTTGATCTTTGACCGTTGACCGTATCCTTTATCGCCACATTCCCAGACTCCCTCATTTCTCCTGAGAAAGACTCTGACCTTACCCCCCATGCCTTCTGGCCTCCAGCTCTGCAGCTGACCCAGTCTTCCTGTCCACCATCCCTGCCTCCCGGGATTCCTCTCCCCACACTGCCACAGAAGCTCCCTCCTCCAGATTGCCCACATTTGCCCACCTGCTGTCCTGTGCCTTTCCCGGTCTTTCTTCACCCCTGGCCAGGGAGGAGCCTCACCTGCCCTTCCCACCCCTTCCTCCTTTGCTCATGTAGCTCTGCCTGAAGCACCGCTCTGTTCCAGGATGGGCTGAGCTGGCAAGGGGTGCGGGAAAGCACAGGGGGATCACGCGTGGCTTTGGATGGCCACAGCCCAGAGGCTGCAGCTACACTGAGTTCTCGGCAAGGGGCTTCGGCAGCCAACATTCATGAGACGCTTGACTGGCTCGTTGCTAGGTCTGGTTGTGTTATGTCGGAACTTACAGAATTTTATGTGCTTTTTGCAAGTGTTTGTTTTGCACGGTTAAAAAGGAATTATGCACTAGTTTGTTGGCATGATTTTTAAATTAGGGATATGATGCTTTTTAGGTGTAGTATTTTTTTATTTTTAAATTTTTAAATTAGGGATATGATGCTTTTTAGGTGTAGTATTTTTTTATTCTTTTCTGGGGCTGGTACTTGGATTTGAACTCAAGGCCCCTGCCCTGCATCCCAGGTTAGATGGGATGAGAGCTGGCCTGACCCGCTGTCCTGGGAGTCGGGATAATGCATAGCCAGCCTGCCGTCTGCAGCGGACGGATCCTCCCGAGGGCTGGTGTGCATGCTCACCCCCCAGCAACTGCCACGCCCCCACTCTGGGCGTTCTTACTGGGAGGGTGAGGATTTGCCTTCACAAGGACATGCACGGCCTCTTTCAGCCTGCCATCCACTGCAATCCAGGGTTGTTTCCTTAAGGACCGTTGCTTGGTCCAGGACCCCCAGCCCTCTAGCATCAGTGTGAAGTTGTAACAGAAGAATTGAACCCTGCAGGCCTCTCTGGCACAGGGAATCTTGTCAATCATGGGGACTCTGCCCCCTGGCTCACAATGACTCCTCTCCTCTCAGCTCCTTTTATAAACACATCTTCAAGTCATTGACAAACTGAGTCAACAGGACAAACACGGCTCCCCATTCTCCTGAGGTTCCCACCGCTCAGGCCGCCACCAGGCTCTGAGAACCCTGGCCAGTGCTCACCAAGCATTTGCAGTCAGGCGTAAGGCCACACACTGTCCACACATCTCCATAGCATCCTCCTTGTGACAATCCTTGTGATTCTCGGTGCTGTCCCACCTGTGCAAGTGGAAGAGCCAGAGCTGGGGTGGCTGAGTGACCTGTCCAACATCGGAAAGCACCAGAAGTGGTGCCCAACCTTTACCCTTAGGTGACTGCTTGCCCAAAATGACCCCTCTCCACCTGCACACTGCTCCTGAGGGATTGTACTCCCAGAGAGTGGTATTTTCCCCACACCTCCTACTACCGAAGTTCTAAAGCACCAGGGCTAAAATGACAATTCAACAGCTATCTCCAAACGCACCTTGGCTCATCCACTCCCAGTCAGTATCTGTCACCTCACCATTTGCGTGGTTACAAGTCAGCCTCATTTATTTTAGGCTGAAACATTACAAAGTAAACTTCAGACATCATGACATCAGAATACTTTAGCCCTCATCTCCTAAAAAGAAGGACATTGTCTCATTGTTATACCTCGAGAAAGTGACGATCATTCCCTAATGTCACCCAATACCTAGCTGTATCAACTCCATTGGGCTTTGAGAACCCTGGTCCGTGCTCACCAAGCATTTGCACAGCCAGTGGGACCACCCTGGCCACATAAGCTTACTCAGTCTTGGAGGCTGGATGGCCCAGGTCAAGTGTAAGTTCCCACTGAGGCCTCTCCCCTTGGCTCCTAGGTGGTGGCTGTCCTCATGCGCGTCTGTGTCCACATTTCCTCTTTGTTTAAGGACACCCATGGTACTGGATCAGGGCCCTCAGTAAAGACCTCACCTTTACTTGAGGGCCTTTATAGACCCTGTCTCCACATACAGCCCCAGTGTGAGGTCTGGGGGTCATAGCTCAGTTCCTAAGCATAGTCCATATACGGATTCTCCCCTGTCATCCCACCAGGTCCCTTATGGCAGCTGTTTGCTTTGGTTTATCTTAGCCAGGATACCACCAAGGCTCACCATTGCTTTCTGGGTTTTGTGTCTCTTTAATCTTTTAATTTTCAAACAGCATCTGACTTGTCCCTCATAAGGCAGTTCTCCTGGTGACCACCATCCCTTTCCACGTATTCACACCAGTTTTGCAGAGCCATGGAGGACTTGCCTGCTTCCAGAGCTGTGTGTGTGCCTGAAGCTGGGCCTGGCCAGTGTGTGTCCATGGTGCTCAGGAGCCGGAGTGCAAGATTGCAGACCTGCTGAGGTGCCGCCGTCCTCCCCCATTCTCCCTCCTTCTGCCTTTTCTTACCACTTCTTCATTCCCGATTGCTATACAGTCTTATGCTTACTGAGAGTGAGGCTTCCAAAAGACCCCACTCAG